ATCCTAGACCTGGAAAAGGTACAGGGAATGCTGGCATAGATAAGCCTTTGGTCTGTTCCACATAACATTCCTTGTGCTATTATGTTTTGTTGTGTTTCTTTGAAAGAACAGAATCTGCAGGAGAAGCAGGGCTTGTCATGACTTTCTTTCTGAGCTTAGGTTTTTAAGGGTGTGACAGGCTATGAGGAAACATGAGTTAGTCCTCTCATGTGATCTGAATGGCTTTCTGAGCCCTTGTGCCTTATTTATTTATTGCTTGCTAGCTAGCTTTTACATACTGTCCCATTACTGGTGTCTTGTTCCTTGCATGTGTGAAACCAGGAACTGGGGTTTGCCTGACTTACTAGGTTGTGTCAAGAAAGGAGCTTGCTTTGCATATACTGGTAAGCAGCTGTAGTGCCTGAGTCAAGACCTTTCCAGGAGCATCTAGAATGTGGATCATGCCTCCAGAAGATCAGTCTTCTATAGTTGCCTGCCGTATTTTCAGCATGCTTAACTGGACTATGAGGAGCTGATTCTGGGTCTCTTTGTTTCCTGAAACACATTGTTTTCATCGTGTTTCTTTAATCTCAGTGTGTACATGTCTAACAAGATAGTCAGTGGCGTGCGGAGTTCAAATACTGTAGCACTCCAGGGGTTTCCCTTTGCTGTAATCGAATGACGACTGCACAAAAGTGACAAGAATTGGTGGACATGCATTCCTGTTGATGAATGTATTCTGTAAATGTGCCGGAAGGTGCCACACTGTGCAACAGAGATATATTAAGGAACTGCATTTTTAGGAAATGGCTGCTATAGAGCTTTGCTGTTTGAAGAGGGCCACTAGTGTCCCAGTTCTCTTAAGAACATAATAATACTTTCCCAGAGTTAAATTACAGTGTGATTCCTAAACCAGTTTGCTTAGGAAAACTGATTTCAAGTACCTTCTCTAATCTTCTGCACCCTGGTCTTATGGAGCACTGATATTTTGTTGAGGTTTTTCATAAGGTGTGGGAAAATGTAGACATGCAAGTGAGTTCAGTGAAGGGAACAACTTTTACAAAGAGGCTATCTTTACTTCATACAGTTTAACTTTTGTGTGGGCTTTAATTCTTCCTATAGTCAGGATATCTCCCTAACCTTGGCAATGTTACAGATGTTCACATGGACAAAAACTATTGAATTATTTTTCTTAATATATTGGGCACAAAAAATCCTTTCTTTAACACTGAGCACAAATGTTTCCTTCTAATTGGAAGGACATTCCAAGGCTATGATTGTAATTGATTTGCACTGATTATAGCTTGGGGTAGCAAGAGATGAACTTTGCTGAAAGAACTTTCATCAAACTGTCAACTGGGTCCCCCAGTACACAAAAAGCTGTTTGGCTTTGCCATTGATTTCAGTGGGATTGTCTTGGCTGATTCATACAGTCATGTGCTTGAAATGGACAAGTCCATTGGTTATATCCTGTATACGATGAGCCAGCAATGCTAAAGCACTCCTGTGCCTGGGGTTCAACTTTTACGCATAGCTTGCCTTTGTTAACTATTAATAGAATAATACGAATCATTGTATGTAGGCACCTGCATAGAGCCAGCTCACTGGAAGCAGGAGTCTAAGTACACATGCAAAAATCATGCATCCTCTGTAAAAACTTGCTGCCTGATTCCATGAACTGCTGTTTACTATCAAGAGAGAACAGAATTTTCTTCAGCACTGGGTTCCAGTTTAGGAATGCTATACAAGAAGCTCCCTTGGCAACAGGAATATTTTGAGGGGATGTTGCTCATGTCCCTCGTTATAGCATCTTGACAGGCATGGGGGCAGGCCTGCCTGTCTCGTGGTGGCACAAACTTGCATTGGAAAAATAGGATGGCGTTGTGGTGAAGTCTGTTGCTCGCATTGCAGTATATGCTGCATGGAATATCCTTCAGCTCCTCCTTGCTAACACTTATACCTTCATTAAACTTTTTGTGAGAGAGGCTCCTTAACTATTAGTTAATAGTTAAGCATAGGTGCCTAAGTGGCTAAATTATCCATGGGCCATCATCTCTGTCTCAGTGCATGACTGTTTCTGGAGAGCACAACATTCAGTAAAAGAGTTCTTTGTTTTTCTTCCTTGGAACCTTCCTATTAAAAATGACATTAAGTATTGCCAATAATAAAGGGTTAATTGAAGGGATAATTGAACTGGATATTAACTAAAAAGCATGAAGAGTCTTGTGATCTATTAAAAATGCTGTTTGGGCATTAGAAGGACTGATCCTTTCTAAAGGATTTACTTAAGCTTTCTTTTCTAGACTCTGATGCAAACTCCTGCATAAACTCCAAGTTCATAACATAGCATTTTGGCTGATTTGGCCTTCGAAAGGGAGATTTCCATGGATAACTTTCAGATTACACCAGCTGAAATCCAGGATTATGTTATTGGTTCATAAATGTCATAGCTGAGAATGGCCTATAGTTTAATCCAAGTATGAGAAACTTCTACTCTCATCCCCTCTCCCAGCATAAAGAAGATTTTCCCTGCTAAGCACTGAAAAAGGTGCCCTTTCTCAGTGTTCTGCAGGAGAAGTTCTTATGTCTGATCATCTGCTGATCCTTCATAGGGATAGTGAATGCAGACTACAGGAAAGCTGCTGCGTGATGCAGGCCCACCTCTGAGTTTTCACCTGTTTGCTTCTGATTAGACTTTCAGAAACTTAGTGTTAAGCTACCTTAATCATTCAGTGCTGCTGAATGAGTAATTTTGGTTTACTTCTGAATAGACATGTGAAGGACCATACTGCTTATCAATAAGGATAATCTTTTTCCATGACCGCTCAGTCTCTCACCTTGCTGATTGATGGAAAGCAGCTTCCAAGACCTTGCTCTGATTACAGTTTGGCCCTTGGATTGCAAATGGTTCTGCACTCCTGCTTTAATTGATGCAGGCCTTAGAAAGAGGCCAGGTTCCAGGCATAAACTGTATTTCCAAGCTGCAGTATCTGATCATCAGATCCTTTAGTTTTCATTACAGAATTATATTTATGCTATTCATAAAGTGTTCAAGGGAAATAAGAAGAGCAGCATTTGTTTTGGTGCAGCCTTGTTATTAGGAACTTAATGTGGTGGCTTGTGGCAAGAAGCAGTTATACTATGGTGCTGTTCCAGTGTCTCTGTGCAGGTCCTGTCCAATCCCTATTGCACCTGCAGGAGTTAAACTCACATGCAGCATTTGCAACAGATTTATTATCCTGTTTCATCTATGCTTACTCTCTTCTGACTCAAGCCAGAGTGGTAAGAAACAGCATTCACTTTGTTTCCCCAGTTTGAAGAAAAACCAGTGGAGAACTGTGACTCTTATGTCTGTGCACAAAAATTCCCTCTTCTGCTGTGAGATGGAATTCACAAGTTGTGGCAAATGAAGAGAAGGGGGTTGCTGACTGACTGGAATCAGACTGCATTGTACTAGTCAACTGTTAATTTTGCTGAGAATTTGAACATCTGGGCTGCAGTGATAGTACGTGTGAACCCTGAGGCATCTGTGTGTGTTTAAACCCATTAGGCCTTGAATGTGTTTTCATGTATCTACACAGCATCGCGACTGAAATTTAAGGGTGTGGTTATCTACTGGAATCTCTGGTTGGAAGGAATCTCTGTTTAGGAGCTGTCTATATGGGACTCAAAGACCAGTTCAGTTAGTGCTGATGAAAGGAGGATAGGCTACGTCCTGACCAATAACTTCCTAAATTTCCCCTGCTGGTATTGAACTGAAATCTGGAGTGTGTAGCCACTCCCTCAAACTTGACTTCCAAGGCTACATTTAAGTATATAATTTGTAATATTCTTTGCATGCATTGGAATAATACATGTAACAGAAATTTCAAATACTTGAGTGTTACCAGCTGTAACTATTGCTGTTTAACAGCTAATTTGTGTTTAGACATCATACTAAATTTACAGTGGTACCTCGGCTCACGAATGCTTTGGTTCATGACCAAATCGGGTTGATAACAAAAAATTCATAAAAATTTTAACTCAGGTCGCGAACTCCTCATTGGGTGGCAACCATGATTGCAGCTATCTCCCCACCCCACTGAGTGGGGAGATGGCAGTGATTGTGCTGGGGGGCGGGGGGGAGATGGCCGAGATTGCGCCCGTCTTTCCTGCATGAGCGTGCCCGTGATTGCGCCTGTTTTTCGTGCAGGAGCGCAGCTGTGATCTTGGCTATCTCCCCCTCAGCACGATCGCACCCGTCTCCCCCCCAGTGCGCCTGTGTTTGCTTCTGTCTCTTCCTCCCCCAGCGCACCCTGTCCGCACTCATCTCTCCCTCCCCCAGTGCGCCCGTGATCACGCTGTCTCCCTCCCCACAGCGTGCCGGAATGACGGGCACATGCAGGGATGACAGGCGCAATCATGGTTGTGCTGGGCAGGGGTGGGGAGATGGCCCCGATCTTTGTTGTTCTTTGTCACTTTGCTTCACATTTTTCTGATTTAAAAAAATAGTTACAGACCGGATTAACTTTATTTACATTGAACCTTATGGGGAAATTTAACTTGGCTCACAACCATTTTTGGTCACGACTAGAGTCCTAGAACGGATTAAGTTTGTGAGCCAAGGTACCACTGTATTTACTTACTTGCACTGTCCTGGATCACTTATGGGAGATCGTAATTAAAGGATTGGGGCGGGGGCAACCTTAGGAAAGAATTCTCTTTTTATAAATCATTCCATTGAAATTGGCTCCCCATTGTCATACCCAGCAAGTTGGGCATTAAGGGTTGACTTTATTGTCTACAATACTTTATCTATTTTACTTTTCATTTAAAATGTTTATGCTGCTTTTAAAGGTAAAATATATGTTCATTGATGTCATAGCACAAAGTCTGTATGCACAGAATTGAGGATGCCATTGATTGACTCATTGTAATGGGTTGTGAATATGTATTATTATATGTATTACTAATTACTAATGAATATGTATTACTAATATATGTATTATGTATAGTCAACAAATTATTATTATTTTTTGAAGTGTCTTGGAAGAACTGACAGCATCAATGACTGGGTTGACCATCTCTCTCAATTCCAGATTATTTGCAACATAGTTAAGAAAGGTAGGTGTATTTGAATGTTCTTGATAACTATTACATAGGTGTTACATTTAGACATAGACTGGGAATGGAAGAAGGGAGATTTCTGACACTGCAGAGTTCAGACATTTTCAAAGCTGTATGATTATAGCAGTTCAGTTTATGCAAGTATTTTGGGTTAAATCTAAACTAGAACATCTTTCTTGGTTAAAAAAAAATTGGTTAAAAAAATTCTAGTGCAGCCTTTATTAACCTGGGGCCTCCAGGTATGTTCCCTTACACCTTCCACTATCCACCAATGACCATATTGGCTGGAGAGAACAGTTTGTAGCACAGCACATTCAGAAAGTGCTGGATTTGAAAGACTCTTCCATTGCATGTATCTTTCTTTTTCTAGGTGAAATCCGTTGAGTCAAATGTAAGTTTAGGCTTCTGCACATTGACCCAGCTGAGACTCAGAAGTGACTTTGTTGTTCTTCAGGGCATAAGCTTTGTGCAGTGGAGAGAAAGAATAATTTTAAAAATCTGTTTTTGCCTGTTTCACAAAAAGGACGTGTAACCTGAAGCATAATAGGGAGGATGTCATCCCTGTCTCTTGTTTGACAGAGCTATTCAAGAGGACCCCTCTCTGATTGGTGGTGCAGACAACTACTCTGCTCTGTGCCATTGCCCTAAGTATGTTTATATTTATTGTAATTTATATTATAATTACTTTTAATTTATTGTTGTAAGCCGCCCCGAGGCTTCAGTGAATGGGGTGGCATAAAAATGTTTTAATAAATAAAAACTAAATAAATAAAAAATGAGCAGCAGTGCAAAGTGGAGACGTGTGTGTTGAGAAGTAATCCCTGCTACCAGCTTTAGAGGAGACCTGAAGAACTGGCAGCAGGGTTTCCCCTGTGCACGAACACTGCAGTCCCAATGGGACTCATGGCTGCAGTGCACACCTGCAGCTGGTGGCAGCAACCTGTGCTGCATGCAAGCCTCTGACAGTCAACCGTAAGTGCAGGCTGGGCATTCTGGGGGTGGGTATCAGTGGTGTTTGCTGACAAGCCACTTGTCAATAGCAGCGAGGGGATTTTCCTGCTGTTGACCACTGGCTCTCTTCTTACAGGGCTTCACTCACAATGAATCATGTTGCCTTGATTTTGGTGACATGACAGCCCATTATGAATCAAACTCTACTTCAACCAGAATATGAACCAATTGTTGCAACCACAAGTGTGTTTGGATGACATGTCAACCAACCAATGACAGTGCCTTTCATCAGTTTTGACTGCCATGTCATCTGTACCCCTGCTGTTCTCATTTATCCATTACTTAATAATGTACAGGCTAGTAGCTTTCTGTTTATGAAGTTGTTCTTGAAAAGCATGTGGCACACCAGCTAAACTATTAACAAGGACCGAGTACCATTAGTACATCACCCCCTTACTGGAAAGAGCTGCACTCAGTTTGTTTCCACACTGAATCAAGGAATGGGTTTGGCAATTCACACCTTAAAACAAAATGGTTCCAGAGTATCTGAAGCAACATGCACTTGCCTGGCAGTTGAGATCTTCATCAAAAGTCTTTCTCTTTCTGGCTGGACCTTTCTTTTTGGGAACCAGGCACTTTTGGATCTTCTGGGGCCTTTGATTTGCCTCTTAGGATATCTGTTCTTCTGCCATGTTTCTACAGTCCTGTTATGTTGATTTTAAACTGTTTGCTGTTATAGTGTGATTACTGTTTTACCATTTGCTTCCTTGAATCTTATTTTAAAAAGCTGGATACAAATAATTAATAATGTTTTACGGTTTTTTATCCTTCCAGATGCAGACAGTAACTGAAAATGGTGATCCTCCTTCTGGAAAACCAAATGAGGAGAAAACTTATAAAAAGGTTTTTAAAATCATATGCAAACTTTGCAGGTTTATTTTATTTTATACCATTCCAAACAGAGTACTAAAATGAACACAGTTCACTTTTTTGTGAGCTACATATTATCACAGAAAATATTGATTTAAAGCACAAGAAAATCTATTGTCCTAGTGTTTAAGGTTAGATCATACACTATGTTTTCCATGTACATTTGCAAAACCTCCTCTGTACTAGCCCCTGGAAGCACAAACTGCTGGGTAGTCATCTCCTAGCCCATGGCATATGCCTCACATCAAGAAGAAAATTTAAGTGCCACTTAATCACCTTTGCGATAGCATGTTCTTTGTTTCATTTGAGAGGAAAACCTGCCCTAGCTGCCTTTCCCCAGTCCTGTCTAGTGTTGGTTGCATTTGACTGTTCATTTTATTCTGATTGCAGACAAAGGCAGAGAGAGCACAGAAAATAGCTAGGATAGCAGTTTCCTTGATTCTCTTATGGGCAAGAAAAAAATAAGGATTACTCCTCAAAGAACTTAATTTGAGAGTAGTTGAAACCGTATCATGACCTAGGGTGAAACACTGCTTTTTGTTTTTTGTCCCAAACACCCTTCCAACTTTATCATGAACTACCCAACCAAAAACAAAGTTATCACTAGGATAATGTTGGGAAGAGTATATTTTTTAAAATTTATTTGGCCTGTGAGACGACAAAAGCATGTTTGAACTGATAAATCTCCATAGTTGTTTTCTGTCTTTAATTTGAATGCATTCATATCAGATTAATGACCATTTGAAATTCATTTGAAGCCAAATTAGGGCCATGAAATTTGTTGGCCTCCACAATTCCATCAAAGGCTTAGAGGCACTGGCTCATTTCTAGTAGTGAATGTTGTTGGTTTAGTGTTCATTTAATTGCTTGTGTGGTTTGTTTCTGTTAATGCATCAATAGGACCATCTTTCCTTTTGAAGAGATCTGCCTCTCAGCATTGGTAATCTTATATAGTGACCATGAATTTAGCCTAGTATTCTCACATTTCAGCAAATGCGCTTGGTTTGAGTTGCCTGCAGCCCTACAGAAATTAATGTTTGTTTAATCAAGTCTAATATTTCTTCTAATATTTAATGTGGCAAAGGTAGAGTAATCACTGAGAGACTCTGAAGCTGCAAATGGCACACTGAGCTAGTCTGTTAATGACTGTATAGGTAACATTAATTTTAATGTCCGTCAGCAAATGGAGAATCCTTCAGATTGTTCTAAAAATCAGAGTGTAATGTCACAGAAGACAAAAAGTAACTCCAAAAGGCCATTATTGCTGCCACCCAGGCAGACTTTACCATCTTGGTGTTGTGACTCAGCTGACATCTTAAGACACAGGAGATCCTTTTAGAAATTCTAGCTATTTTTCCTGCTTTTCCTAGTTATTTTGGTGTTTCCTGGTATGTGGGAATGGATCTATCAGAAGGTTCTCAAATAATTATGTTGAAGAACATTGGCATGTTTTCGTATTACTGGCATAACAAAGCTAGTTTGGGGCAAAGTGGAAACTAAGAAGAGCCTGTAAAATGCATGTGAAGAGCAGGATCTGCTGCAAGATTGGAACATGTATAATTCTTCATATATGTACAGCTGCTACTCTTGTTGATCTGCTTTTTCACTGCCAGATGCCATGTGGCTTCTGAATGAGTAAAGATGCTCTGGGTCAGTGTGGAGGGTTAGTTAACCATGATGGCAGCCAATACAGAAGTGTGAAATAGCACCCCCACAAGCATAGCCCTTCCTTTCTTGCTTTATGACAGTCAAGGACTCTTGCAGCCATTTTTCTCTCGGATATTTTATTTAGCTTACTTTTTCAAATAATCCTTTTTTTTTTTTTTTCCATTCAAGGCTCTGACTAAAGATTGGCCAATTGCATAATCCGGACACTGAAGCTAGCTGACCTTTAGGGGTTAATGTTAGCTGATTATTTCAGTATAACTAAAGCTGCTAATTTTTGCAGGGCCCTTCAGTCAAAATGGTTGACTGTCATCCTTGATAACTATTTAAAACATGCCCCATATGAATTCAAGTCTTTAGCTTATGCTTCATGACTATTATTATGCATGAATATACAATTTTCTGTTACTCATTCAACAGTAATAGTTCTTAACAATAACTGCATCATTTACAGAGGCTTGGTTCTATTTTGAGAGTATGTATAAAAAGGGAAAAGGACATGGAAAATTTTAGTTTCTGATTGGACAGCCAATCATCCATAGGATAAATTTTAATAATACAAATATGCCTTGAGACTTAATAGTATTTTCCATGTACTTCAAGAGGTAAATTTAATAACAATAGTTCACTTTCTCTTCAATTATGCAGGTTTTTTTCCTTTGGACAGGAAATAACATTGGCCACTGTATCAGAATTGCAATATAAACAGAAATATATGTACATAGAAACCACTCTTAAGATAATGTCATGGTTTAATGTCATTAAATGCTTCTGTTTACTTTCCTGGAGTTCATTTATGTAACTTCCTTAGGTGGATCTGAAGGTGTATCTCTTTTAAGTTCCTGGTAGAATAGTTAAAGATTAGAACAGTAATTCATATACTATTGCATTCCTCATGGTCCTCAGTAAGACTACATCAGAATAAGTTTAGTCTGAGTGGTATCTACAATAATTTAGATACAAGTTTCAGTTGCTTAATTCCTAAACCTGTCTAGAGGCAAATTGTTCCCTTCTTTCCCTCCCTTCCACTCAAGTAAAATCTCTTACATTGCAATCCTATATGATTACTCAGACATAAGCCCCGTTGTTTCTCCTGTGAGGCTTACTTCCAAGTACATTGGTATAGGATTGTAGAGATCTTCCTTAAAATCCTGAATCACTCAGGATGCATAATCTTAACTCAAAGACTTTGCTTCTAATGCATTATATTTACATACAAATTACTTTCTGGAGGCAGTTAATTTGTTGTGCCTTCTGTTAGTTGATTCTAATTTTTTTGGACTTGCACCCCACTGCAGACAAAGTGGACCTGAGCTCTAATTAGTCTGGATCAACTACTAAACTCCCCTACACTTCCTTGCCACAAATGACATCTATAAAACAACCTTAGTGATTTGTATCTTGCATTTTGTTCTATAAAAGAAGAAAAATGTTCTGGAACATCTTGAGTAGAGTTGACGAATATGTAGGAATTCTGTTGTCATAGTTCAAAAGATTGCACAATGGTTACTAACTATACACAGGATAAAAAACATAAAATCAGACTTTATCCCTTAGCTTTGTCTATTTCTAGTTCCTTTACTTCTGTATCTTAATTGCCAGTGTTTTCAGTAGTTGCTGACTCTTGGATAAGGTATATATAGATTACATACAAGGTATTTATAGACAGATAAAAATGTTTCTCTAAAAATTCCTTAAGGTTTTCTTCAGTCAAATTGAAAGGAGATAGGTATTAACTAAATTGGAAATTGAATTGTTAGTGGAATTACAATACTAAAAGAGAACAAATAGTTCCTTGCAGGCAGATGTTCCTAAAGCAAGCTGTGATTCAGACCTGCCTTGTTCTGTGTGACTGGAATTTTAGAAAGTGATTCATTCAGAGTTTCTAGTTTAAGAATTGCCATACCAAACCTTTGTCACCATATTTAAATTTGTAGTTTTGGCTCCTAATATAAAATGGTCTTTGATTTCAGTGATAGTCACTTATGTGCTTTTTCCTTGTCAGGCCAGTGTAGATGAATTGTTCAGGTCTCACGGTGAAGCAACTGTAAGCTTTAATAAAGAAGGTGTGTTCAGTCTGTACCTACAATGGGGAATGTAATTCTGCCAGAGCTAGTATGAAAGCATGCTTCATGCATTCTCTGTTTGTACTTCCTTACATCTAGAAGGGAATACAGACATCTACCATAACTTCCAAACATGCCCACTTGAAGTAAACCGGGGAGTTCCAAAGCTGTCTGTCTTGGACATTTAAAATGTATCTAAACACATTACATATAATTCCGAAGACCATTCTGATTCCTGAACACCACGTTTTAAAGCTTCCATAGACAAGATGTCTGGATGTTTCTCAGGCCATCTAATCGCAGTGCCTAATAAAGTGTTGGCTGGTTAAAATTTATAAAGGTCTAAATAGTCATGGCAACAATAATGAAGGAGTTCAAAGGTTAGTTAATTTCTGTAAGCTTGAATACTATTAGTTGGCCCATAAAATGTAGACCTTGAGTTTCTGATTAGAATTGTAGTCTGCTGGTTAATACCCAGTACACTGCATCAAATGGATAAAATGCTTTTTTCTGACATTAATAATAAATGTTTATTTTCTTATATACCAGAAAGCTGCTGTGACAACTTTGGACTAGCTGAGTTGATCTTTACTATGTTGAGAAACAAACATGGAGATCCTCCAGTCCTGTCCAATTCCATGGAGGGGTGTAATTGCCTACACTGAAAGAATCAAAGTTAGGCATGAGTTGAATTCCAGATGATCTTACAGCAGGAATGGAAAACCATTTTTGGCCCAAAGGACAACATGGTTTTAGGTGAAACCTTTATGAGTCTCATGTCCTGAGTCAATGAGGAGAAGGAGAGCTCTCCTGCTCTTCTTTTCTCATGCATTTGATGCCATATGATGGTTTTCCTAATTTAGTTTTATTGAGTTAGGGTATTTTATTGTCAATCGTTTATGCTATTTTAAATTGTTTTGATTTTTAGGACCTTTTTTTTTGAGAATGGGATCTTAAGAAATGTAAATAATAATAATAATTTTACTGTCCCTGACATTGACTTATACCCTGATCTCTCACCTGTGAAAAGGTTTAAAAGCCTCCACTTGTACGTGTGCAATTCTAATTGCAGGACTGAGGATAGGATTAGGTATTTGGTGCATGGGCCAGAGGCTCTCCATCCTTGTCTTACAGCAACATAGGTTTGCCACAGAATAGGCAGCTGTGCTCCATTTATGGTTTAACGCATACCTGCACATATGTCGTCTTCAGATGATATCCTAATTTTTCTACATCAAATTTGTACCATTTTCTTGGTAAGACAGTAAAGTATGTGAAAGCAAAGCATTGCATGTGGTGATCTATTGTTATTCACATATGGCTACATTTTCAGTATGATTTGTGAAATATGTTCTAAATCTTCATTGTGTAGGAAGAGAAGGACTAATAGCCTCTGAAAGAAAGAACAACCCACTGTAATCAGATTATTTTTGGTCGGCCCAGCATTTTCCTTCTGTGGACAGGGGGAGTTCCTACATCTGCAGATAACTGATCCAATGGAGAATGTCTGTTAGCAGAATGGAGAGGAGGCAATTTGTGTTGATCCTTCCCACTCACTCTGCATACCTCCCAGATCTCCCAAAAGACATCCCTCAGACCTTCAGGGGATTGGGGGACCCTTCAGAGCTGCAGAGAAGGGGATACTAGCTGTAGTAGGTTGGGGAAATAGATGACAATACTCTCTACTTTCCTTCTGCAGGCAGGAGAATTCTGAGTAGAATTCTGCCAGTAGAAGGAAATTCTGCATCCAACCCAGTGGATGGTGAGCACTCTTCTTTGTAGGAGGTAGTGTCAGTTTTACTTAATTATAGAAGTGCGTTCAGAGAATGCCTTTGGGCAGCTCCCAAGAGCCCACACTTCAGCAGAAGCCCCTGGAATTACCCCTTCTCTTCACCATGAAATCTGTTTGTTCACCAGTAACTCACTCTGGCCCAGATAATTGAGCTGGCGAGAAGGAAGAGCAGCAGGAGACACTCCTGTCTGCTTACTCACTGGCTCACTATCTGTCAAGCAAGCAACTGGTAGCAGCGATGGAGGAGAGGCATGATAGCAGTTGGTGGCAATAGCACTGAGAAGGTTGACTGACTGAGGGACAGGATCCATTGAAGGTATCTTGACAGATGACCCTCAGAATTCTGGAGCCAATGCTATTTAATTATATGTATGGTGCTGTCCTTTCCCACTTACGGTATGTAAGTATCTGCACTATAGAAATAATACTGTGGTGCTTGCTAATTCTCAACAGGGTGGGGTTAAGAGTTATGGTCAAGAAATGCTTATTTATTTGAGATGGGAGCATATTTTCTTTCATGTCAGCAGGCCTTTATGTGAGGAGAACATTCAGGCCTCCTGATGAAAATTGATCCACCCTCAGTAGCCTTCTATTAACCTGGAGAATGACTTGTACCTATGGTACATATATTTTGTTCAGCGGAGCAATCAAAATCTTTGTCTTTTCAAGGAATCAAGCTTAACAAAAATCAACAGATTTGTTTCAGCCAAGCTCCAGTTTCTGTGACCCTCATGTAGGAGACTGTTCAGTTAACAAAAAGGCTCAGTTTGAAACAAAAACTAATCAAAGTTACATAATTTAGTTCACATGCAGGACATTAATCTTTTATAAAGACCTTTTCAAGACAAGAAATGGGGAATTTCTGAGCAATCCATTCAGCTCCTTTACCAATTAAAGTAGTATTTTAGGAATGACCAACTGTGCCATGTTCTCAACCAATTGTCTATTAGGAACTGTTATGCAACTTGAAAGATTTGATATTAATTAATCTAAATGACACCCTAATACTTACCCGTTGGCACTTTGTTTCTCATTTGTAAAATAAACCAAACTGAGAGAGATGCATTTTGAAGTATTGTATAAAGCTGTCACCAGACACAGTATTCACAGTTAAGGTTCTTCAGTTCATAGGTGATACGAACTTTTATTTACTCTTTTTCTGCACAGGGTCTCTTGAATCAGACTGTAGTTGCATAGAGGCAATCATTGGTGGATTGCTCTTCCACATTTTCTTTCATTTTCTGTAAAGTCCAAGTGGGAGATATGTGTCTGATAGAGAGAAAGTGGCAGGAGTGGAAGGGAAAGATGACTTTCAAGCCATGATATTTTGGCTTGTTAACTTCTGTTTCTAAGATTTAGAGTTATCAGAGCTGCTGGCCTTTTCTCTAGCAAGAGCTGTACTCTCCTCAGTCTAGTTAGCTAAATGAATGGCTTTAACTGTCCTGGTTCTGAGAATAGCAGGCCCAGGCAGATACCCACCCTGTATAATGAAATCAGATGGGTTTTATTTCTCTCTGATCTGTAGCTGATAAAGAATTTGAAACCTTAATTTTAAAAAATCAGTTTGTTTAGCAAAAAATACTATTTCAGCTCTCTGTGCCTCTTAGATAACTCAAGAGACTGATGAGGAGCAACATTTTGCAGGAGATCTGTAGGAATCTTTGGCTTTTGCATACTAGAGGTCTGCCTTTTCTTGAAAGAGAACACAACTCACTCCAAAACCCTTACTTTTTACAATCTATTACCATTGCATTCTAATTGCAAAGCAAGTCATGAAAAGTCACTTCTTTAAAGCAAGTTTCCTGTGTTTATTCCCCTCATTTGCTGAGAAGAGCTTGCTGACTGGCTGTTTGCACCATCTCCTTGACCAGCTGCTGCTCACTGAGCTTTATAGCCATATTCTTCACTGAGACTCCAGCACAACTTCATTGTAGCAGCCTCTAGTGCAACCAGAATCTACTTTCTTCACAAGTGGTCCAGCCACCATCTCTCTGGTTATTATCTGGCCTAAACTCTTTCAGTCAGAGTCTAGGGATGTGGCGCAGACTGTTCCTCTTGTTAGCTGCCTCCCCCCTCCCCCATTGCCTGCATAGCATCATAGCTCATGTGCCTCTCCATAGCTTCACTAGGAACTCCCAAAATAGAAACAGCTTCAAAATCAAAGAAGGAAGACTGTTGGAGCTGCAAGGTTATGAAGCCACTTTCATTGTTCCTATTGCATTTTAGAGTGTGTGAAGTGCAAGGAGGGGTGGTGTCCAGCATAAATACCCCCACATTAATAAATCATTTTAAATTTCCTAAGAATTCTGAGCTATTCCTTTCTGTTATAGGCCACCTGCTGCAGAATGAGCCAGTCCAGGCTGAGGAATGCTCATGCATGGCCTGGATTATTTTTTTCCCATTGGAGGAGGTTTTCAGAGCTTTTGGCATAGTTTATGAGATGGCAAGATTCAGAGAGCGCTTTGTGCAGTTTGATATGTTGCTACTGAGTACCATAATGGTCCCCTGGCATGCTGGATTTCCATTTGCTATTATGATATGTGATTTTTGTGGCCTAATTGTTTCCAGACTTTTCCTTTTGAGCAGTGACCTTATAGATGAACTAACCTGCTATACATGGAGGGATGTCAAAGCAGTCATAAATTTTATAAGGCACCTATGGATCAAGAAAATCCATTTACAACAAACTGACACTTGAAAATGTTCTGCCTTTCTTTGCAGACTGCATCCTCGGCTATTAAGGGTGCCATACAGCTGGGAATCGGATACACAGTGGGTAACCTCACTTCTAAACCAGACAGAGATGTACTTATGCAAGACTTCTATGTAGTAGAAAGTGTGTTTCTTCCCAGGTAAGGGCAGTATTTGATTATAGTTTTCTTCCTTCCTGTTCACCTTGCCCCTTTCCCCAATAAAAAAAATCACTGCCACATTTATTCAAGATATGCCTTAGCTTTATCCCAAATTGCTAAGGACAGTGTACAAGGTTCTGTGCTCTCCGCATTCCCCTCCTCACTTTTTTTAATTCTCGCAGTGACTTTTAGAGCGAGGGATGCTACCTGGTTCACCATTACCTACTAAGCTTTGTCACAAATTGGATTAGTGTTTGTATCACCCTGGTCCAGTCCAGCACTCTAACCAAGATACCATTGACTGTTTAGGTGTTAGATAAATCATAAAGATGAATTAAAAATGTCCTTTAAAAGGAAAGAAAGGAAGGTCATTTCATAAATGTGCTTTCAAGAATAAACACAATAATACATGAAAGGAGCACTATAAATTCACATAAAATAGAACATTTATTGGCAGAGCAGATAAGTAAGAAATGTTTAGTAGGCCACAGTACTATAGTAACCTTTAAAAATACATATGGTGTTGCAAGTGCAGTTTCTTTGTTCTTTTTGTCAATAATCAGAATCTGTTTTGAGGAAACAGGATGGTTATATAGCCCTAAGTGCATTCCTGTGCGACAACAATGGTCATATGATGCAGAATATCTGCAAGATAAGATAACCAGTTAATGTATTTCTTGATTTTAAATAGTTGCACTAAAGCAAAGCTTGTAGACTTTTCTCTGCCTATTGATGCCTATTGAATTTTGCCTTATCTCTGTGTACTTTATTAACTGTGGAAGAACATATTTATTTCCTGAGAGCCATATTAGGAAGCATTGTATTAAAGTGTGATGTGGTGGTTAGAATGTTGGACTGGAGACCTGGGAGATCTGGGTTTTAGTCGCCATTTTGCCATGAAGTTTTTTGGGTGACTTTGGACTAGTCACTCACTCTCAGCCTAACCGATCTCAGTAGGCTGTTGTAAAGATAAAATTTAGCTATGTAAGCCACTTTGGATTCTTCACAAGAGGAAAAAAAGGTGGCATATAAATGCAATATGATGAAGAAGAGGAGGAGGAAGATGTTTAGCTTAGCTAATTCCAAAGGATATTAAAATGGTTAAATGTAGGTTCTGGTTAAATTACATGAACAAGTTACTTTGGATTTGCTGATCGATAGTTTGTATGACAAAAATGTTAAAAATGTGTCTTGTTTTGTTTTGGTATGTTTTGCATTTAGGTAGTGTAGTGGTGCAGAACTCATTTTAGCCTAATTCAGTTTCAGAGAAGCTCATGAGATAACTTTCCAGGGTTAGATGGGGTCAGTTAAAAGAGGGGTAGACCAGAAAACAAAAAACTCCAAAACAAAACTAGACTATTGCAGCTTGAAGGACTTACTGTCAGCAACTAATCTGTAGGACCCCAAACTTTTTCGGGCTGCTGCTTTCCTTTGGGTGACAACCCTAGTGCCCTCGCGCCTCTTTCTTTGTATTAGGTTTATTGCTCTGCTGCACATTTAAAACAACCAATCACCACCTCATGGATCTTTCCACCACCCTCATTGAGGAGGTACTGCCCACTTTGGAAATCATTGCTATAGGAGAATCATTTCAAGCTTTTAGAATGGGGGAAAAATTGGATTAGTGATTTAAGGAAAGGGAGTGCAGGTAGTGAAAGGGAGCTGACCTAAAGAGCCCCAGAGAGTTTGATTTGGCCCTTCACCCTAAAAATCTGAACCTCTGGGTAGTGCCATGAAGGTGCAAAGGGGATATCATGCAAATGGTCTCTCATCTTTTTTATAGACATTTCAGTTCAGGTTTTTGCTTTCTGTTCTTGATCTCACAGGAGAAACTCAGCATCTGTGTAAGTCTTGAATTTCTGAGAACAAGAGATGGAAGGCCAGTAGTTCAGTTTTTTGCTACTATTTAGGAGTCCCCAATCAGAGCTGCCCGGAAGGTTTATTGGACAGTGGCGGGTCCTACCACCACCTCTTCCAAGGATCCATGCATGTGTAGCAAGGACCTGAGATGAGGCTTTTTGTATCTGGGGGGCATGGGGCAAATTGCCATATATGGCATCCCCATCCAGGCAGCCCTTTTCCATTTCTGAAATAATGCCTGTGGATTGCGTTGTGCACCCACAAATGCAACAGTTCATATAAAAGTTTTTTAAAACAATGAGCCTTCACTGTTTAACTGTCCAGTGGACTTGCTTTTGAAAGTAAGGAATTGCACCTTCTGTCCCTCCAAACATGCTTCAGCTCATAATGTTGCCAGCAGTCAGGTTGTTAGAGCTTGCCAATAAAGAAACATCAGAACCTCCTACAGATCAATGACAATGAACCACAAGAATTCATTGTATATGCTGTTTATAAGTTTGTTCTCTTCCTGGGATATATAGAAAAATTATTAGTACTGATTGCATTTTGAACACAAGCATCTTCTTTCTTTTAAAACATAAGTCTCCATGAGTACCTAAAGGAAGATATGCCCATGAACCTTGCATAACTGCTTTTGAAAGTGGTTTTTGAATATTGCAGCTTTTCCTTTGCAACTGCCTGTTGCTTGGCAAGATGATCGAAACAATCTTAACATTCTAGAGAGGTAGTACAATTCAGTCTTGCACAGTACTTGATGCCAAAACTTTAACGGAAGTAGGTTGATCTGTGGGTCTGAGATGTGGATTTGAATACTTAATGGGTGTATGAGTTTATGATTCTAATTGAAACTCTCAGACATCAATTGAGTGGACTTCAGGGGTGGACAGACTTAGCTGACGTTTATGAACTTTCACAGGAGGTCTCAGGCAGGGTACTACTAGATTCAACATATTGTTGCCAGGTGCTTTGGAAAATGTCAGGTGTCTTTTCCCTAGGAAGGGCCGTTGACTCCAAGGAAAAGTCATTTAAGGACCATAGTTGATGGTGCAATCAGAGTCTAAACTGCACAGACTTTTCCACATTGCAGGATTATATTGCTCTTTCTCTCTCTGCCATATGTTCCTTCTCTGCCTCTCTCTCTGCCTTGTACATATACAGGAGCAGATGCATTCCCCCAGGGCAGACCAGAAGGGGCCCACAAGCCTCCAGAGAGTGGTAACGGTGAAGGACATAAGTTTCCCACATTAGATTTTGCTAAGCATGGAATAATTTGTTAGCATTGTGGTCAGACTGTTTGTTTTCATGGTATAAATGCAGTGCATTAACCTCAATCACAACCCCAGGGCTACATATTAAAGAACATTAAGTCTGCAGCATGCAAACATATAAACAGCATGCAACAATTAAACTAGATATGAACATAATATAAAACACAAATATACTATATTAATAATCTATAATCTATTAAATATTTGTTGAAATAAGCAGAGACAAGATGTTGCATAATTTGCATTTCCTCTCCTTGCCCATTTATACAACTCAAACTGCTTTTTGTAGCATCAGTGGAGCCTAAAAGCAGAATAGGAGAAACCTAATAAAATAAATTCTGTGTTGGAACAGTGGTCAACCTTTGGGAATAGTTGGGGACATGAAATTTAGAAGGTGTGTGTACATTTTACTGTGTAATAGATTTTTTCATTGTGCTATTAACCCTCCTTTTTGACTAGAACTGTGCTTTTTGCACTCCAGACTGAGACTCACCTCCATTTTATCATACTCACTAGGACTTTAGAGGGTGTTCTTTATTATAGTACTGCTGTTCTTCAGGTCAGTTGGCACTGTGTGCAAGCCAGTTATGCCCCTTCATCATTTGATGTGCAGTTCTGGCAAAGAAAACCAGATGTTGTAAGCTGCCCCGAGGCCTTGGCAAGGGGCGGCATAGAAATGTTTTAATAAATAAATAAATAAATAAATAAATAAATAAATAAATAAATAAATCCTCAAACATACATCTGACCTAGCTCTCCTGTGTTGTAATTGACTCTTCTGCTTTCTGACAAATTGCTGTGTTAGATGGATTTGTTTATTGCCTGACTCTTGTGGAGCAATATGTACATTATTTAATCTGAAATCTTAGATTATGTACAAAATTTGGAAAAGTACATCATCTTTTGTTTTATTTGCATCTGAACTGAATACATGGATGCTTTATGGTTGCATTAGGATAAGCATTTGATACCTGAAACACACTGAGCTCATTTCACTGAACTCTTTTCTAGCACCTTCCCTCTCTTTTTCTCTCCCCTATCCTTTTTTGTTTATTTTTTTTCCCTGTGGAAAACATTATTTGGCTGAGAAACTGCTACTTGGGTGAGCCATATAAAAGACCACATAGCCTCACTCCCAACCCCCAACTAATTAATATTTAGCAACACAAAAACTGCTTACATACTCAGGCAAATGAGGGTTACTTTAATCATGCTTGATATTCAAGATGATGCAAGGTCACAAAGAAGTCCTATTGTCCAGTTCTTTTCAGCAAGAAAAGGAAGGTGAACTTTTAAAGAAAGGAGTCAGAGCAAAAAAAAACACAGCTTAGCTAAGCATAGTTGTTTTCCTTTAACTCTTTTTGGGACATGTTTATGGAATTCAGGGGTGGTTAAATAGTTGCATTCACTTCAGCTGCTCAGCCGGTATGCTACACACAGACACATTCAGATGCCACTGTGTAAAGTGCCAGAGTTTTATCCTGTAGTGGTAAATCCACTGGGTTACCTTCTTATGAACCTTGTTCTGCAGAGAATTCCCTGCTTGCTTGTGCATAAACATACTGCTTATCCTTACTTCTGAGCAGACATACAGAAGGTTGATATTTAGGATGCTACTTAAAAATGCTTCTGAGTGATTCATTTCTGCTCTGCACATACATGCAAAAGCCTGTCTTGCTCATTTATTGAGTAGACAAGTGTTCTGCTATAAATTGGTAGCAATGAAATGGGGGAGGCAGCTCCCTTTGCCTGTGTCACACCCACTTTTGCCTTTGCCCATGGCTACCACTGGAATATGAGACCCAAGAGCTGCTCCAAAATGAAATGCAGCCCCCATCCTCACCTCTGCCTTGAATGGATGTTGATTTTGGCTGCTTGGCAATATGATGCAGTTCTGTAATATGTAAGCCCTATTGAGATCAGTAGGGCTAATTTTTAGGTAGGTGGACTCTTTTAGAGAGCAAAGAAAATGATATTAGACTGGAATGTGAAATGAATGTGAAGATTGATTACACATGCACTATCAGGTTCTTGACTTGTTCCAACTCAACATCTTTTTTGGGGAGTGGGTGGGAAAATAGGAAGACTTGGGGGAGGAACAGGATAAATGGGGGGGGACCAAAAAAATGGGGGGAATTTCACCATGCTATCCTAAACATATTTGGGAAGAGTGGGAAGAAGGTTTTTCCCCTCACAATTTTCTGTTCTTTTCCAAGCCTTCATATCTCAGGGGAAGGGGAAGACTGTTATTTACATTAAGATACGTTTTAAAAATGTCTTTGTAAAATATTCTAAACTTCTTTCAATTCAGTGAAGGAAGCAACCTTACCCCTGCTCACCATTATCCAGACTTCAGATTCAAGACCTATGCTCCTCTGGCCTTCCGCTACTTCAGAGAACTTTTTGGTATCAAGCCAGATGACTACCTGGTAAGAATGTACATTTTTTCAGAAACAGGAGACAGAAATAGATGTTTCTCTATGTCTGGGGGTTGGTTGCTTTGCTGTAGGAACCAACACCAAAAGCTACAGTGCCTTTTCTAAGTGCTTCTACCTGGTTTTAGTTTGAGGAGGTATGCTCAGTGTTACTAGATTTTGCATGAGTCTTATGAAAATTCCTGCCATTATTTTTTTGGGAATGTCAGAGTAATAAAAAGGATTTCCTCATGAGTATGATCTACAGGACTAAATTCATAAGTTCCAGGATGGGGCATTTGCATTGTCCAGTGCACATATATGATATAGGAAGACTATCTAACTCATGTATAAATTTAGTTCTTGGCCAAGCATTTAATTGTTCAGCTTGTAATTAATTCCCCTAAAACTTGATGTGTTAATTGATAGCTCAGCAACTGAAGTATAGTTGCTGTTCAAGTCATTATTTCTACCAGAATAGTGTAATTGAAGTTAAATACTCCTGTGGATTTTGCTGATTGAATTCTCCTTGAGAGAGTTCCTGCTCTAATTGTCATGGAATTGTCTAAGAAAATATATAAATATTTGCTTCCATAGATTGTAACCTTGACCTGGAAAAACACGCAACCCATAGCATATTGCCACTGTATTTTAAAACCCTCTCATGCAGGTCTTGATTTTGAAGACTCATTCTCATTCAGTGATTGGAAAAGACATGTGGCAACAGGTTATTACATGCAGAACAGTTGTAGCGGACAAACCTCAAGCAGTTGTTCACAAAATGGACTGAATTCAGCACGAGTGTAATGCAAGTGGAACTGTACTGATTGCCCCATTGAGTCCTGTGTGTAGCCTGTTCTGAATAGCTGTAAGAAAGCAGCATGTGTGCAGTATTGTGTGATGCTTGCAATGCTCAGAGAACTGTCTTTAACATACCTCTGTAATCAAAGGCAAGTCAAATATTTTGTAAGGCAACAGTATTTCAGAGTGAAACAAGGAGAAGAGATGGGTTGATTGCAAAAGGCCTGGATTTTGTCTTTCCCACTGTTCTTCAGTTAATGATGATTTTATGCTATTACTTAACATTAGGGTTAGATAATAATAAGGTAAACCATTATGCATCATTAAGCAAAATAAAATTATTATCCTGAAAGTACTAACGGTTAAAAATATGCCATTGCAGACAACATTTGCATGCAAATAAACCAGGGTTGGGCAACTTTGGAGGGGCCTATCTCACCCCCTAGATGCCTGCAGCTCATACCCTTGCTGCTGCTACACTGGCAAACTCTAGATGGGGGCTTAAAAGGGAGAAATCTAATTTGTTTTCAAACTGATTTCGTGCACAGCCTGAAGCAGTTGTGCACAAAATGGACTGAATTCAGCAACTGCTTTTTTGCCAGGGCTACATTTCAGGGATGCAACAGGGGTGGCAGCAGCCACAGGCCCCAGCGCAGGCCAGGGTGCATTTGGAAGCTCCATGTTGCTCATTCCTGTGTTAAACCATAATTGGGTGCTATATGTATGAGTGTGAAGTGCTGAAATTGCATGCCAGGAAAAACCCAGAGTTTGTGGTTGGCTTCATTACTAGTTGACTAGCACTTTATTTTCCAGTTTCGAGCACTATAAAACTGGGAGTCAGAGATCCTTCCTGATCTAGTGGAAATTCCCCAGAGATCTACCAGGAGATCCAGCACTATTTCCTTCCCACTCTTGAATTAGAGATGAAGAGTTGCTTTAGAAAATCATAGCCTGTTAGTTCAAGAAATTCACAAACCTTGTTCCTGTACATCCAGCTCCTCTATTTCTTCCTTTGGACAATGTGAAATTTTATATGAACTGGAAAACTCTGGTCACCATCTCAGGAACAATCCAGAATATTGAAACATGGTTTGAAGTTGGTTTAATATCCTGACTTGGTCAGTAGCTGGTAAGCATGTGTTTCCAGTTCAGACACAATGGGAAATTTCCATTAGAAACTTCCTGGGTTGTTGTTGTTGTTGTTGTTGTTGTTGTTGTTGTTGTTGTTATTATTATTATTATTATTATTATTATTATTATAACATTTCTATGCCGCCCCTTGCCGAAACCTCGGGGCGGCTTACAACATGATAAAATACATTGAAATACAATAGTACATAATAAATTACCATTAAATATAACAATACAAAAAATACATTGATTTACAAATACAAAATTAAAATTATCAGTATAAAATAAAAATATAGGAGGAGAAAGAGAAGGAAGAAGAAGTTGCCCAGGCCAGATCATATGTTTTAACAATTGAAATGATGTTTAAATAAAAAGGTCTTTACCTGGCGCCGAAAAACCAGTAACGACGGTGCCAGGCGGACCTCTTTGGGGAGTGAATTCCATAGGTTGGGTGCCACCGCAGAGAAAGCCCTCCTCCGGGTACTTACTCTCCTAATTTCTTTCATGGAGGGTTCCCGGAGAAGGGACTCTCCCGCAGATCTCAAAGGGCGGTCGGGCATATACGGACGTAAGCGCTCGTTCAGGTAGCCAGGACCCAAGCCGTTTAGGGCTTTGTAGGTCATAATCAACACCTTGAATTGGGCCCAGGCTTCAATGGGAAGCCAGTGAAGCTGATGGAGGACTGGAGTCATGTGAGCATAACGCCCCGTCCCCGTCAGCAACCTGGCAGCTCTATTTTGCACCAATTGAAGTGTTCGGACTGTCTTCAGGGGAAGCCCCACGTAAAGCGCGTTACATATGTCTAGGCGGGAAGTCACCAGCGCGTGTGTCACCGTCGCCAGGCAGTCGTATTCCAGGTAGGGGCGCAGCTGATTAATCAGCCGAAGCTGAAGGAAGGCGTTCCTTGCTACCGCTGTCACCTGAGCTTCCAAAGAAAGCTCCGGGTCGAGGAGTACTCCTAAGCTGCGGACCTTATCCCTAAGAGGGAGTGTTGCACCATTCAGGACCAGGTCAAATCCACCCTCTCCGAAACCCGATCCGCCAACCAACAGGACCTCCATCTTGTCTGGGTTGAGTTTCAGTTTATTGGCCCTCATCCATTCCCTTACCTCGGCCAAGCACCGGTTCAGCACAACCACTGCCTCACCTGGATTAGTAGAGAATGAGAGGTAAAGCTGGGTATCATCAGCGTATTGATGATTCCGCAGCCCACACCTCCTGATGACCTCTCCCAGCGGTTTCATATAGATGTTAAATAGCAGAGGGGATAGAATGGAGCCCTGTGGTACCCCATGGCATAGCTGCCATGACGTAGAGACATGGTCCCCCAGCACTACCTTCTGGAATCGACCGTCGAGATAGGAGCGGAACCACTGCAAAGCAGTGCCTCCAATCCCCAATCCCGCAAGTCTATCCAGAAGGATACCATGGTCGATGGTATCGAAAGCCGCTGAGAGGTCCAGAAGAACCAACAGGGATGTACTCCCCCTGTCCTTCTCCCTGCACAGGTCGTCGTACAGGGCAACCAAGGCAGATTCAGTACTGTACCCGGGTCTGAAGCCGGACTGAAAAGGATCCAGATAATCAGTTTCCTCCAAGAGTGCTTGGAGTTGTCCCGCCACCACTCGCTCCAGCACCTTGCCCAGAAACGGGATGTTGGCCACAGGTCTATAGTTAGTGGCCATCTCTGGATCCAGTGACGCTTTCTTCAGGACCGGTCGTATTACCGCCTCCTTTAAAGGGGCAGGCACTCGACCCTCCCTCAGAGAAGCGTTAACCACTTCCAAAATCCAGGTCCCAATCCCGTGCTTGGAGTTATTTATTAACCAAGATGGGCAAGGATCCGATAGGCAAGTGGTGGGACGTACTCTTCCAAGCACCTTGTCCACATCATTGGGCCGCAATAATTGAAATTCCTCCAGTAATTTTGGACCAGACGGTGGCATTGGCGACTCCTCAGAGACCTCTGATTCATTAGTGGAGTCCAGCTCGTGACGAATCTGAGCGATTTTCTCCCTGAAATGCCTGGCAAAGTCGTCACAGCGGGCCTTTGAGGGTGGCATCGGATCTTCCTTAGGACCCAGGCGAACCAGGCCTTGCACCACTCGAAAAAGCTCCGCTGGACGGCATTGTGAGGAGGCAATGGAAGCGGAAAAAAACTTCTTTTTCGCCGCCTTCACCGCCACAGCATAGGCCCGATAGTGGGCTCTCAAATGTGTTCGGTCAGATTCATCCCGTGATTTCCTCCACCTACGCTCTAGCCGTCTCCCAGCTCGCTTCATCACCCGTAATTCAGGTGTATACCAAGGGGAAGAGCGGACTCTGCCCGGTGGGAGAGGACGCTTAGGAGCGATCGTGTCCACAGCCCTGGTCATCTCTCCGTTCCACAGTTCGACCAGAGCCTCGACAGGAGCACCAGTCTTGTCCGCCGGAAACTCCCCCAGGGCCCCCAGGAATCCATCCGGATCCATCCGGCTCCGGGGGCGGGCCCATACAATCGGGTCCACACTCTTATAGAGGGAGAGGCCGCTCTCGAGCACAAACCTCACCAGGAGGTGATCTGACCATGACAGGGGAGTCAAACATAAGTTCTTCACCCTCAGGTCATCCTCTACCTGCCCCGTCGTGAATACCAGGTCCAGAGTGTGTCCACGTTCATGGGTAGGGCCAGTGACGTGTTGAGACAGGCCCATGGCCGTCATAGAGGCCATGAAGTCCTGAGCCGCCCCGGTCAGTCCAGACTCGGCATGGAGATTGAAGTCCCCCAGGACCAACATCCTGGGGGTCCTCAACACCAGATCCGAGACGGTCTCTGTCAGCTCAGATAGGGAGACTGCTGGGCAGAGAGGTGCACGATACACCAATAGAATCCCCAATCTGTCTCGTTCGCCCAACACCAAGTAGAGGCACTCCAGCCCTGGTCTCAAAGGGACCGGAAGACCCGTGAGAGAGATGGAGGCTCTGTAAACCAACGCGACTCCCCCTCCTCTCCCTTCTGGGCGTGAACAGTGTTGAACCAGATACCCGGGCGGGCACAACTGGGAGAGGGCAACATCCCCTCCCTCTCCCGCCCAGGTCTCCGTTATGCAAGCCAGGTCGGCCCCCTCATCCACAATCAAGTCATGGATGAGGGAAGATTTATTATTGATCGACCTGGCATTGAGCAGCAGCACCGTCAGACCCGAGGGGTGGTTGACAAGGCTACCTGGCGCCCTCTGGTTGGGGGCAGGATCAGAAGGAGGGACAGGTGTCAGCCATCTGTCCATCCTTCTTCTACGTGAACACGTTAAGCCCCTATTGTTGTAACGACCATTGCCCGTGACCACGCCAATAGCAGCCCCCGTGGGTTCCCCAGGATATATAAACGTCGACATGGCCAGGAATGACTCAAAGCACTAATTAAAGCAGGGTAAGATTATAAAGTAGGTCGGAGGAGGGGAAAAAGAACGATAAAAAGAAAAAAAAAAAAGAAAAAGGGGATCCTTCCTCTTCCCTGAGAATCAGCAGTAGGCAAGCCTATTTCAACAAGAGTCCATGGCCAG